CACACTTCGTGCCAGAGGCTGTAGCTCAGCCGGGGCGGAAGGGACGCTGCCAGCCAGCCACGGCGGCTGAGCAACACCCCCCTGGCCACAGCCGTGGGGAAGAGGAGATGGAGACTTTGCTCCTCTCTGTGCTGCCTCTTTCATAAGCACTCACAGACCACAAAGTCTGAAAAAGCTGCTTCGGCATACGGCTCCTGCAGCAGCGTGTCGGGAGAGGGTGCAGTGCCCTGCCAGAGCGAGGGGTGCTGAACCCCCACCAGCACCCAAAGCCTCCCCAGACGCGCAGGGCTCCCCGTGGTGAGAGGGATGTGAATTCACAGCCGATTACAGAGTAAAAAGCAGAGGCAAAAATTAACATGAGGGATGAGCTCCCCGAGGAGTCCCTGAGAGAGGAGCTCCACGCGTGCTCGGGTCGCTGATTCCCACGGGGGGATCCCTCTCGGGCCTGGCCTGGCCACGGCACGAAGGACACCTGGAGCAGCTCATCCCCAGACCTGGCGCGTCTCCCACCAAGCTTCACACACACTTCCCCTCCCTGCACCCGCTGACCCTCTTTGCTGGATTTGGACACGCATCCCAACTCAGCTTAAAGCACAATAAAACCCAGAGAGAGTTACCTGGAGCCACTGAGCTTTTACATAATCCTTCCCTATGTGACTTTTACATAAGCCCTTGTAACCTGGTTTGTGCAAACTCCTTATCAGTTAGAGCTTCTCGACCTATACCTAAAATTATTTCTCCTGATGGGAATATCAAAATGAGGTTTCAATTACAAAAGTTTGTAAGTCCCCCCAGGTTATTTGGCACAGTGGTATTTAATACTTACAATACTCCCCCAAGAGCAGGTGTAGCTGCGGCCAGCAGCAGCACAGTGGGCAGGAGCTGAGCTCAGCCTCCCCAGCCCACCGTCCCAGCTCAGCAAAGCCCTGGTTTTGCAGGGGCTGGGAGGAGCAGGGAGCTCCCTCTGCCCCTCCGGAATTGCCGGCACGACCGCACCGACAGCCCTTTCGCCTGGGTCAGGCACAGCCTTTCGCTGCAAACAGCCGGCTTCAGCTTCGCTATTTAGGATGAATTACAGTCAGCTCCGTCTCAGACCAATGGAGAAATCCAATTGTTTGTAGCGCTAATACGATTTGATAAATAGTTTGAACCAACATAACTTCATTGTCAAGCTGCTGATTCAATCAAGGTCCTAAACCCATCGTGACCTTGATTTCATAGCTTGATCATAACCAGCGTTTAATAAAATTACAGCAGTTATCTTCCTTGGTGATCTTAATATTGTTTCCATTCTTCTTCATAAAAGACATGAAGTGAACGGAATTGGTTTATTCTCCTGGTTTTCAACACAGGTCAAAAAATTTCTCAGTAACTACCTAAGATGAGACATTTGAGGCAGTTAGCTGTCTCAGCTTTCATTCCTTGCGTACAACAAAAGCTCCAGACTGATTCATAAGGAATAAAAAGCCTGGCTTTATTGCGACATTCAGCAGCAACAACCCACAACCGCAGCATCTCTCCTGACCATGACAAAGCTTTGGAGATGGAAAATCATTCCTGCAGCCTAATTGCGCTTTGAGCTGCTTTTAAGCTATGCAAGTTGTCTTTACTGCAAACCACAAGGTGTTTTAAATCCTCAACCATTTTAATCCTGCGACGCCCATCCTCATCTATTAAACTCCACAAAACCAGCACAAGAGACAGTGGCCAGATGATGTGGGACTTGCAGACAACCCTGGTTCAGCTCAGCCCCTGCAACGAGCGGCTGATGCAGCTCAGGAGAAGCCTCCTGGAAGCGTCCGTGAGCATCGTGCTGCTGCCTTACCCCGAGCAGACCTCAAGCCCCATGTTCCCCAAGCTACTGCTCGCCAGCCACAGGATTAGTTCTGTGCAGCACCTGCTGAACATCAACATTTATTTCTGTTTTATAAAGGGGAACATGTGAACTGAAGAGTCCCAGGCGAGATGCTTGGGCTGGTTTACTGGGCTTTCTGACCAATCCAGCACAGCACAGAGCCCCAGCCGCATTGGTGCCCTGGCCCAGGTGTGGGCTGTCCTCTGCCACCCAGCAAGCCAGAGCCTGAGCAGCCCCAAATCTCCTCTCACCTCGGCAGAGTGAGATGATGTTGCAGGAACCACATCCTGGAGCTCCCCGGAGGACAGCACCGCCTCTCCCACCGCGCTCATCTCGCCCACCCACCTCACTTGCAGGCGATGACAAGATGTGGTCACTCAACAAGTGGTTGAAAAGGCAGAAAGGAGCAATTCTGCTTCCCGTAGCATTAAATATGAAGAGAGATGATGACAGAGCACCAGACTCCTGGCTGCTGACTGCTACAGTAGCTTAAGAGGATGAGTCTTCAAAAGGAGAGTAAGATGTTATTGCTTTATTGAAGGAGATGACTGATGTAGCTACCAGGACCCTTCCATCAACAGCAGCTTGTCCCATTACGAGACAAGTAATCTGCAACAGCCCATTAGAAGAGCTCCATCCATCCAGTTGTTGTCTGATGGGTCCGTGGTCCCCAGGCGCCAGACTGACGAAGGCTTCGGCTTCCCGCAAGCATCACGAGGTGCCTTCAGCAGCCTCCTCGGAGGCCGCCGGGGGTTTTACAAGCCGGGTGGCTCTGGGCCAGCTACACAAACTGAACTGCACGCAGCAGCTCCCCAGGGAGAACTGGGCGGTTCTCTGTTTTAAGCCAGTTGAGGAAGTTTTTGGTGGAGCAAAGCCCCAAAGCGCGACACCAGCAGCTCTGCAGACGCTTCTCATTCACTAAACCCGGCTTCACTAAGCCCCACAGGAGGGTCGCTCCTCGGGCCGGTACCAACACCCGGTAGCTCCAGGCTGGACCCAGCCTTGCAGCAATCCCCCCGCCCTCCGATGTCCAGATAAAGGGAAGAACAGCATCAAGGGTGACCCAAAATACCCTTTTTCTGTTGAAAGGAAATAGCAGCACTGCAGCCAGCAGAGAGCAGAGGGAAAACTGCGCTCCTGCCTGAATTCGGCAATTTAACTTTGTATTTTGATCCAGGGGGGAAAAAAAAGAAGCGAGCAGTTGAGCAGTCTCATAGCTCTTTAAGCTCAAAAGCCATCGTAAGGCTTTTTCAGAGATAAGCGCTTCCTAAATACTTACTGCTGAAAGATTAAGGGAATGAAAGCCTGATCCTGTTTCCCGGCCCAAAGCGGCTGTGCTGACAGGACGACCCCATCCCCGCCACATCACAGCAGGAGGATCAAGCCAGCGCTCCCCTCCCAGCTGCATAAAGCTGATCACTGGGATGGATTTCCCCCTCCGCTGATGCTGGGTGTGGGATTGGGATCCCTGCACAGCGGCACCCCGGGGGGGGTTGAGGCAGGAGAGGAGTGGCTCTGGCAGCAATTTCCCTCTGTTGTCCCTATCAGCAGCTTTCGCAGGTGGGGGGATAACAAAGGTTTGATCCCGAGTTTCCCCACGCTGAGCCTTGTTGCCTGACAGGGCTCTTCTCACTCAGCAGGGATTGCGGAGCGATTTCGGAGACGCCGTTGCTCCGGGGTGGTTTAGGTCGCTCAACTCCAGCCCTCGGCGGGCAGGACACCCGAGGCTGCTGCGCCGACCCCTTCCAGCAGCTCCATGTGCTCCCGGGGGCTGCAAGCGAGCAGGAGCCCAGCGCATCCTGCTCCGGCTCAGCACCGCAGCCGTGCACCGAGCCGGGGCGGATGACTGCGGCTGCATTGCTCTCCTTCGATGTTTATTCTTAGATCATGCCACCGAGAGAACGACTGGCTTCCCAAATTTTAATACAATTAAGAACGTCACTCCCCCAGCACAACCTTCACGCTAACTATCTGCCCTGCAACACAGCCCCAGCGAGTGAAGTGCCACCGACGTTTGGATCACCTTCAGCAGACGTGGATTATTTTGACACGTGGCATCCAAAGTGACCGACCCTGGTCCCAACACAACACCCGCTCATGCCTCAAACAAGACGAGGTAATTTCTGACTTCAGGGTTCATCCTCTATTTCAAGGTGCTACTCGTGCTGCAACCATTCACCAGCCTTAACGCGAGTAGCAGCGCGGGGACTTTCAGCCAGAGCAGGTTCGCAGACGGGTGCATCGATTATTTGTTAAAATTTGCCACGTTCAGTCGTGCTCCGGGCAAAGCTTGAACCAAGGGTTGCAGACTTCAGAAGCCATGACTCCTGCTGCAACCGCACCCGCAACCCCCAGCCCCTCGGCACGTCCCGCTCGCAGCCCCGGCGCTGCCGGCACCAGCCAGTGATGGGCCCTGGGTGCTCTTCAGCGAGACCCTGATGGGAATCCCCACGCCCCAACCTCCAAAACGCACCCACCCGGCAGCGGAACCCATCCCGGTGGGTGCTGTGAGGGACCCCAGCTCCGCGCAGCCGGGGCCCGATTAGCAAACGGCGCGTGGTCGGCGAGGGAGCCCACACCGCGATCACACCGCGGTGATTCACCGCAGCCGCCCCCGGCCCGCGCCGCCGCCCCGGCGGGCTGGGGGAAGGGGCACCCCAGCAGCAAATATTTAAGCAAAACGCCATCCAGAGGAAGGTGGATCTGGCACAACAGAAATTAATGATCTTTTGGGGTTCATTCATGAAGCAAAAAAAAAAAAAAAAAACAACATAAAAATCAAAAAGCCCCTGGAGCAGGGGATGGGGCAGGGTTAGTCACCACCGCACCGCCCGGCACAACATCTGCCGTCAGCTGAGCCCGCAGCCTCCCCCTCTGCACCGTCCTCCCTCGGGGCGGCCACGAGACCCACGCGCTCCCGTCACCGGCGGCCGCCCCCTCCCTATCCACACTTCCCACACCCCACCACGCTCCCCCAATGCTGCTGCGCCCGCTCCTCTGCCGAAAACAGCAAGCCCTTCTCTGAACGCTTGCAAGAGCCGGGCCACCTGCAGCACGCGGCACCGAGCCCCCCCCTCCGTCCCAACCCGTGCCCAGACACCCAGGATGGGGGGCCCGTCCCCCCCTTTGGCACCCATGGTCCTACCTGCAGCTCCTTGTCAGAGTACTTCTGGGGGTTTTTGCTGCCTTGGCTCTTCTTCCGAAGTTTCTTCAGCTCTGCCTGGCACTTGTCGAGCGAGTCCCCCTTGCTCCTTTGCTCTGTCTGGTATTTTTTCAGCGCAGCCTGGATGTGACAGGAGAAAGTTTTGAGCAGCCGGAGCCAAAGCTCTGGGCCTCAGCTCCCGCTGCTGAGGGGTGGCAGAAGCAAGCAGGACCCCCCCGACCTTTGGGAAAAGCAGCGTCCCCCCACGGCTTGGAGAGCAAACAGGGTCTGCAATGGTCTGACATCAGGGAAAATGCTGTTCTGTGCGTGGTGATGAGGGCGATGGCCGGGGACCCATCCCAGCAGGGGCATGCGCGTCCCCAAAGGGGGGAGCTGGGCGAGGGGGGAGCTGGGCAGCAGCAGTGGGAGATGCCCGAGCCAATGTTTGTGCTGCCAGACAACACGAGTCTGTAACTCACACTCAGGTACCGGGAGTCCAGCTCCACCTTCTGCTCCAGCTGCGTCAGGAGCTCGTTGTGGAAGGACTTGAGCTGCAGGCAAAAGGAAAAAAAAAAAAAAAAAAAAAAACAAACAAACAACATAGTTCCTTGGTGAGGGCTGGCAAACTGCCCAGGGAGCACCAGGGCAGGCAGAGGAAGGGTCTGGACAGACAGAGCAGAGGGTGACAGCAGTGAGGGACAGACGGATGCTCAGAGGGGGACCCAGCAGGGCAGAAGCAGATGCCCGAGCAGACCAGACCCTTTGCAGCTCGGCAGATTTGCTTCAGAGGGGTTGGTGTTGCCCAGACAAGACACGGAAAACCATTCTGCTCAGCTGCAACGCCAGCAGAGCCTGTGGCCGGGCAGAGCCCAGCATGCCCGGGCCAGGGCACTCACCATCTCCTCCAGCTGGTTCTGGATCTGCCTGTGGACCTCTGCCATCTGGAAGAGCACATCTCCTGCAAAGACAAGACGTGGGGAGGGGGCTTGAGGCCCTGAGCGTGGGGGAACACCCCAGGGCTGGGGCAGGTGGCACCCCAATAGCAGGGAGGGGTTCAGAGCCAGACCCATGGGTGCTCCTGGGGCACCCCCGGTGCCCAACTTCGAGGAGCTGTAGGTGAGCAGATGCTCATCTGAGGCACTTGGATAAACACACACATCTTGTGTAGCACGAAGGGAAACAAGGACAAGCAGCAGTGGGACCCCAGCACCCAGGGGCAGCCCTACCCACGACCCACCGTGCCATCGGCCACCCCGGCTACGGCATGGCTCTGCCCACGCCAGCCCTTAGCCTGGCCGCAGGGACGTGGCAAAGGAGCTGGAGATGATGAGACCAAGAAAGGTGCCTCATCTTGACCTGATTCACAGCCCAGATACTGGAGGGAGCAGGTGGAGGCAAGAGATGCTGCACTAATAACCGAGAGGGGAATCTAAATAGCAGGGTAACAGCCAGGAGCTTTTCCGATGCTCTCCTAGCCATGCACGCAGCCCAAAGCCAAGCACGGAGCACCCACGTCCCTCCCTCAGCAGCGGGGCAGCAGATAGCCACAGCCCTGGGACTCAGCCCAGCTCACAGGACACGGAGCTGCAAAGCTCAGCCCCAGGTTGATATTTGCCTCAAAGCCACTGGACCCAATCCACCTTGGCAGCTGAGCCGTGCACGGGCAAACGCCGCCGGTCAGTCCCAGGAACGGCTGCCCACAGATCCTGGTTCTGCTTTGTCTCTTCCTTTAATTTTTCTTTTCAAATGCAAAATGCATCAAGTCCCACACCCACTGCGCTTTTCCTGGGAGGAAGGGCAGCGTCCTGCCTCAGCAAAAGCCCCAGGACTGCTGGAGCCAGGCACACACACGGGAGCTGCGGGAGCATCTTTTAGGAGCTGAGCCAAGTGCTACCGTTCGACTAAAAGCACCATCTCCGGAGCAGAGCAAGCTTTCGGGGAGAGCCGAGCCCCGTCAGCTATTTGTAAGGGCTGAGTTAGGAAGCTCTTACTTGCAGCGTGGTGGGTTGCAGCTTCCCAGGAGGCTTCCAGCCTACATGGAGCCGTTTGTCAGCCGAGAGGCAGGAGCCGTGTCGCCGAGCTGCTCCTGTGCCAGGACTCAGCCCTGGCAGGCCCCGCAGGCAGTGGTGGCTGGGAACCCCCAACCACCCGAAGGGAAGCAGCGTCCCTCATCCTAGCCTACCAAAAGCCGAGCAGCGCCTGGGATAACTCAAAGCCCCAGATGTACAGCCCATCAAAACATCCGTGGGGTTTTACAGGACAGAACAACGGCCCCAGGGGTGGGAAATGCAATGGGAAAGGGAGCCCTGGAGCCCCAGGACATGCGGGAGGAGAAGGTGCAACCCTCCCGAGGCTGTGGCTCTGGGCAGGGCTGAACCTGGGAACTCCCTGGAGACATGAGGGTGAGCAGCCACAGCCCCGATCCCACCCAGGGGTGGGCCCCCCTTCCCCAGCGTGCACGGCCCCCCCAGCAGCCGAGACACACGGAGCCCAGGTTCGCTTCCCTGAGGGGCTGCTCACTCCTGTCCCGCTCCAGCGAGAGCCCGGCCCTGGCCCCGGACGCTGCAGTTTTGGGGTATTTAGGGAGAGAAGGAAAATGCGAGTCCTCTGCAGAGGAGAGGTCCCATCCCGGGCTCCAGGACAACTGCATCCTCTGTACAAAACCTCAGCTCCAGTGAGACTGGGATGAGCCAAACCAGCGTCTCCCTGGGGCACGGGAGCCACCGGGACCCTCATTCAGCACAAAGCAGTGGTGTACAGTGGGCCAGCCCCAGCCCGGTCAGCCCGTCCCCGTCCCCCCCGCGGGCCGTACGCCAGCCGAGTGTCAACACCACCGGCCGATCGGGAACAACCTGGCCCGACGTTTCTTTGCTCTTGTGGCCTGAGCGATTCGTACTTTGCACCATACACCGTGTCTCGAAACGTTCTGCAAACATTCGATTCCGATCCCCTTTTTGTCCTTGGCGGGCACCAGCCCCCTCCGCCGGGGGCCGACGCAGTAACAGAACCGGCTGCGGCACCGACTGGCACCAGGGACACCGCGTCCCCTGCTCGGCTTCTCGAGAGACCGGCGCTGCACAAAGCATCCCGCAAAGCGAGGCGGGGACCACACGGCTCCTTCGCCGGGGAGGAAACCGTGTGCCGAAATTCCTGCAGCCGCCGAGCCAGCTGTAACTTCTACAGCCGCTCCGCTGAGCGAAGCGGAGCGGCCCCCCCGGCCGCGGCGATTACACACGTCTGCGGTGAAGAGCTTCACGCGTGAACGGGGAGGTCCGGGCAAGAGGTCACTGCCACAAGACCGCCAGGAAATCGCTCTCCAGTTGGGCCGCGAGAGCTCAATCATGGGAAGTGCACAAATTCCCAACGGCAAGGAGGCAATGACGTAACGCCGAGATCGCTTTTTCAAGGGCATATCAAGGCAAGGGCGGCTCGCTTCTTACTGCCAAAGCTCACACCACCCCCTCTCCTTTTCGCTTCCCGTTTGGCCGGAGTGGGAACCCGGGTTGAGGAAGCTGGTGCGGGGCTGGCCGAGGGCTGCTGCCGCTGGGCTCCCAACCCGCCCGGAGAGCGGGAACCAGGGCGCTCAGAAATAACCGACAGATCCCCAGATCCAGCACTGGGTGCAGCCAGCCCCCCCCACCCCGTGCCGGGCTCTGCCCCCACCCAGGGAATGAGCCCGTTCCCAGCTCCCAGGGCGGTCGGTGTGTCTCTCAGATAGGCATCTTTTTGCTTAGACTTTCTCCTCCCGCCCTGGCTCTTACCCCCGCGAGAGCGTGGGACGTTTCAGCCCCGCATCGAAGCGAGCAGCGGTGCGGAGCCTTTCCCAGGACCGCTCCGCATCCCAGCCCGGGCGAGGGGGGTGCTGCCGTCCCCCGCAGCGTGCTCCCCCGCCACGGGGCCGGTTTGCGGTGCCTTTGCCGGCCCAGCACCCGGAGCGGCTCGAGGCGAGCACCGCGCAGGAAGGCGGCTGGATGCCTGCCCGGGGGCTCGGGAGCTTCCTCCGGAGCCTCTCCCCACGCTGGGACAGCCCAACCAGCTCCACGCTTCTCCCACAGAGCCCACGCGGGGCAGCAGGAGGGTTCGAATTAAATCCCTTAAATAGTAGCTGCAGCACGGTGTGAATTCACAGGCAGCACCTCTGACACCCCGATACCGCCGCACCACGAGCTGCTTCGCCACTGCAAAAAAAAAAAAAAACAACCTACGGACCTTGTTAGACATTAACAGACATTTCACCCTGAAACCGCTCAGACTAACCCAGCGTGGCAGAAGGGAAGAAGTTAAACTGTGACTAAGAGATACGACGGGAGTTGGAAAGCCTAAACATTTCAAACCCTGGCTCGGCAGGGGCTCGGCAGCGTTGTGCTGACGGTAGATACCGCAAGGCGTTAGCAGAGCTGGGCGGCAGGGCCGGGACCACAGCCCACACCCTGGCAGTGGCCCGGCCACCCACGCCACGGGCGTTTTGCATCACCTACCACCGGTATTTGTAAATTAAACACGGTAATTACCGCTGTGCAGCAGGGCAGAGAACTTGGGTCACGGTGTCAATTGGAGACGGAGCGCGAGCACCGTAGCAGCCTTACTGCCAAAATGCACATCCTATAGGTCGAGAAACCCAAGGTCAAGTGCCTCGCCTAAGCCGAGAGGCAAAAATAAAGACAGGGGAGGGGAGGACTGAAGAGCGGGGGTTTCACCTGCCCCGCACGGGGCTCCCACACCTTTCCGCAGGCTGCAAAGCACAAACAGGCAAGGAGGAGTTGCTATTTACGTCTGTGTGACTCACAGTATCGTTCTGGGAGAACTATAGGGGCTATTGTGGGCCCTTCCCTACCACACCCAGCCAGGAACAGGCAAACAGGTTGTTCCACATCCCTCCCATTGCTATCGGCACCGCAAGCCCAGCAGGAGCCAGCTGCCCCTCCAGAAGGCAGAGCAGTAGGAACCCATCTCACAGGGCTCTGCTTTTTTGAGTTTTCAGAGCCTAAGATTTATTTTTTTTTTTGTTCCTCTCAAGCTAGATACAAGCCCTTTTTAATAAAAACACCAAACAGTGCATCGGCAAAGGAGCCAACCCGCTCCGGGGCAGAGCATGTTGGTGCCTGCGCAGCGCTGAAGCAACCCAGCCTGTCCTGCAAGGGCAGCGGGCGCCGGGGTCCCGCTGCCACCGGCAGCAGCTCGGCAGCAGGGATGCTCTGACAAGCAAACAGCACTGCATCCTCCCCAGCACCGCTCCTGGCTCCCGTAGCGTGGAGGATGCAGCACTGTTGGCATCCCTCTCCATCGAGATCGCTTGCTCTGGAGCTGCAGATCCCAAATAGAGAGCACAAAAGGATGAAATAGGGAGTCCAGGGGGTCAGCTCCTCTGCTATTTGACATTGTGTTGGGCTTCTCCCTGTTGCTTTTTGTTAAGGGAGGCCAGGAAAGGCGATGGTGCCTTCGAGGGAAGTAACCAAGCTGGCAGAAAAGGAATATTAGCTCCTTAATGAGAAAAATCAACAGACAGTAACAGGGCAAATTGAGCTCCTGAAGCCTAAGAGGGGGAAAAAAAAATAAATCTGTTTTTCAGTGGCTGGTTAAATGCTATTAGCTGAACCCTTTGATGCCAAGCAACACCTAAACCCAGGGAGGGGATGCACCCACACCAGTACATTGCCAGGGCAGGTGGAGATGCAAAACCATCAGGTGGGTGGCCTGGAGGAGAAGGGGCCAGGAGGTCCCTGCCCCAGGTGCTGCTCCGACACCGGCACCCATTTCACTCCTCCCCAACTTTGCTGAGCAAAGGTGCCTGCTGGGCAGGAGAGCTCCACCAGTTTGGTGGGGGTTTTTGGTTGTTTGTTTGTGGGTTTTTTTGTTTGTTTGTTTGGGTTTTTTTTCTGTTTTTTGGGGGGAGGGTGGGGAGTGGGGTGGAGAGCATCAGCCTTGTGCACAGTAAAGAAGCACTGCTTCAGGGTGACA